CACACACTCACATGGTCATATTGAACATAAATAGGGACATTTTAATGGTAGTCAAAAATCCTTTTATATCCTCTTATCTTAGAGAAGCGCTTTGTGAATCGCGAAGTGGACGCTTCATTTATGCTTTAACCTATGAGCTGTAAGCTTCAAGGGACATATAGCTTCACTCTTTGAGTTTTGAAGCGTTTACCCTTCAAAAAGTTTCAAAGTGAGTTTTAGAAAAACTTTTTCAAACATTGCCGATTCTCCCTAACCAAAACATGCCCCATGTTTCTATGAACCAATCTAAGGTGGCTTGGCAGTTGGCATTATAACGATATTGATCCACTAATTACAGGAGTTATGGGATAATAGTTGAAGATGCAAACAAGGTAAGTAATTGACCAAATTGAATGCAACCTGAAGGTGTTAAAAAAAGAAAAAGAAAAAAATATATTGAACTAAAGTGGGTCTGTGAGAGTTGGATAGAGAGAACTGATTTGTTACTTCTTTGCAGTTGGGGTGAAAGCACTGTTTGTTATTATTGTTGTTGCTTGTTGCTAACGGAACCGTGAAGCACCATATGAAGGCCATCAAAATCACGAATTAAGTTAAAGTAAACATATTCCTTTTCAGCTAGTATTGAATCTAAACCAGTTATTCATGTAAAAAAGAATTTAAGGAAGACAATCTGATAAAATTTCTGCTATCTTTAAAAGTTATATTCTGGGTAGATGGTCGATTATTTTCATGAGATTTAAAGAGCTCAGATAGTTGCACACATGTTAGCATTGAGTTTATGATGCAATAGCGTGGATTGACAAACAATGAAAGGCACCATCTTGATAAAATAATTCTAGATGTATACACTTTTTCAGCAATCAATTCCCTAGTTTTGCCATTTTAATACACGCCTCTAATAGTGATTTCTAGTTTGTGATTTAGGCCTGAGGGTGAGAGAAGGAGCTGATATGCAAATGAGAGTGCCACAGTTTCCTATGTAACTCAGCTTATCCACAATTTTCATCCACAAATCTATGTTCAATATCGACATCTTTTTTCTTTTCTCCTCTTTTTTTATTTCTGGTGCGTGGAAAATCATGCAAGGAAATTGGAGATATGTTCTCTTCCATAACGTAACGGTCTTTTTGTAGCGGGATTTGTGTAATGCAATCCTGTAATATAACCACACCAGGCGCACATTGATGCACAAATTAAAGATCATCTACGGTTATCAATATAATTGTAAGAGGTGTTAATCACTGATACGTGTTACATTTATCTCGCAGTTTGAGGATGTACAATTCGTTGGTGGAAAGATGCTTCACCGACTGTGTAGACTCCTTCAAGCGCAAGTCGCTCGACAAGCAGGAAGAAACATGCGTCCGCCGATGTGCAGAGAAATTCTTGAAGCATTCGATGAGGGTCGGCATGCGATTTGCAGAACTCAACCAGGGTGCTGCTACTCAGGACTAATTTTTTGTTGATGTTTCAACAGAATGCTATCATTGGCTACCTGATGGACCGTGAATCCTTGCGTTTGTTTGTAAGAGCGTTGTTGTTTATTTGCTCAGTGATAGACTCCTTAGCCAGAAGGGTCAGGATGATTGAATTTTGTTATTTTTATCCGAGCTGTTTTATGCGCTTTTTATAATTTCGATGAATCGGGTAGGGTTGTGATGCCAATTTCTATAGTTCTTACATTTGGTCTGCATGAAAAAAGCATTAAACATTCCTGGCTGCTTGATTTTCATTTGCGATCGTTTGTTGTTCTCTGTTTTTTACCGTATGACATCGTGTCAAAGTAGAGTTCACAAAAAATCATTTGACATTGGTCTATATCATTGGTTTGAGTTATAAATCGACTGTTGACATTATTAGAGCTCGAGCTCTTCCTCGTATAGACGCATTTGGTAAAGTAAATACGTGTATGCATTTTCTCGTACGATTCATTTTGTGTTGGCCAGCTAGTGAGTCACTTGTTCGTTAGTGCCTAAACTTTGTTGTATCACATATTCACATGTAATGATTAATGCTTATGGTCAATTTATTATAAGTGTTGGAGAATGATTGAAGTAAATGAGTTAATCGTAAATTGTTCTGCTGTCTAGAATCCTGTGGTTAGTATTACTTTTGCGATTCTTGCCCCTCTAGCTTATCGTGTATTTTAATTTTAGCTTCATGATTTCCATTTAGGCACAGTTTGGTTTAACTTTGTTGTGAGTTACTAGTTGTACTTCTTGTTTCTAGTGAATCCTTTTACTTTTTTCTCTTACCTTTTTGAGATTGGTTTCCACTTTTAATTTAACCCCGGCTTGCGAAATTACTAGGATAAAGCTTTGGGTTTAAGGGCGCGTTTGGTTCAATTTTTTTTTCATGGAAAGGGGGGAAGAAAGATGTCATATTGTCAGCAATATGGTAGCTTTCTCCCCAAAACGCCTCTTAAAGAGGCGTTTTGGGGAGAAAGCTGCCATATTGCACAATATGTCAGCTTTCCCCTCCTCTTTTCATGAAAAAATCATGAACCAAACGCGTCCTAAATCTAAGACTGAAAGAAGAAAGCAGGGAAAGATAAATAAATTAGCAGATAGAGCTAAAAGACCTCAAGCTTTAGAAATAACACACTAGATTCATCCCAATTTTAGTTTCTCAACTAGATTCAGCTTTTGTATAGGCTATTAGGATACGATTCCTAGGAATTATTCTATCTCATCGCAAACATTCAAGTCAATGATCCATACTTGTTTGCTGATCTATATACCTTAAGTTGACCATTGAGTCATTGACCATATATAAGAAATCCGATGATTTGAACAATTCCTAACCACTCATCCAATGGTTTTAAATTTTTTTTTTAAAAAAATATGATTTATGTATTGTTGTTACGACGGTCCACTGGAGGATACGATCGGAAATAAGTGAAAACATAGGAAATCAGAGGTTAATCCTGCTGAGAATAAAATGATGGAGAATCTATTGAGATGTTTTTATCATGTGCAATCAAGGCCGTTAAATGCACAGATTCAAAGAAGAGACAAGAACTGTATTTAAATACAGAATTACCGTAGCGGAAATAAAAAAAATGGAGGCAAGCACGGGGTGCACACTAGTAGCTCTAATTGAAACAACTTTTAAGTGACGAACGATCCGTTTTAAAAGTAGCCCCAAGTCATGTGCATATCCACATTTGGACCTTGGAAGTTAAAACAGCGGGTAGGTCAAAAGTAATGGGGGTGGACCGGTGGTCCTAACAATTTGTGAACAAATTTCCAAGTAAGGATAACACCAAAATGCTTGGTTACTTTGCCTTGTAGATGAAGATGAGTATTACCTTTAAAAAAAAACCTAATGGAGGTGTTGACTCTTATTTGTAGCAGATCTCAATCCTTTCAACGGGAAAAAAAAAGACTCGGTGATTGGGGGATTTGCTCTTCAAGTATGGCATCTGCTTTAGTGCAGTTTTAGGTGCTGCCCTTTTGATGATGGTCGTGATTCAACAGTATCTACTGAACAAATTTTCAAAACAGCCCCAAAAAGATTTTTATTTTTCAAAATCGACCCGTTTTTTTTTTATTTATCAAAATCGACCAACTTTTTGTCACGTGGGCTTAATGAAGTTCCTAAACAGTCGGGGTTGTTTAGATCAAACATGTTTGCTTTCTCTTTAATTACTAGCTCCTTCGAGCATTCCCTTACCTGCTTTTTTCCAGACTGTTAGCTCTGTTTTCCAAACTCCTCAAAATTGAGCTAGGACTAATCCGGACCCAGTTTGAGTCAGACCGGGTCGGTTTTGGTCCCGCCGGTTTATGGTACCCTTTTTCCGGATGGGAAAAACCGGCCCAGTTTTTCAACAGCAGCAACAAAAAGGAAAGGATTTCATTCTCAAAAATAGGACCATGATCAGTCCGCATAATCTGAACAGGCTCGTTCCGCATTGTTTTTAGGCCTGGCCTCAACAAAAAAGCTCAAAGCTCCAATTAAGCACCGACCACTCCTAACTCCCAACAGCACCCTACATGTGAGCCTGCTGGCGCTGTAATCATCCCGCTGCCTCCTCATAAGAGGGGCTCAATTGGGGCCCTCCGCATGAGGAGATGAAAATAAATGTAAAAAAAAAAAAAAAAAAATGTAAAAAAAAAAAAAAAAAAAGATAGATGGTCCTCATGAGCTAGAGTCCCTGTCACAAGCTTTGGCAGACAAAATTAAAAGCATAGGGAAAAAAGAAATAAATAACGAAGATAATTCAACAACGGTCCCACCTCACCTCCCTCTTTGTCCCCTGCGGTCATCATAAGCCCCCTCACCCCACTTTAGTCTACAGCCAACCTCATCAAAAAGTATTGGATTCGAGACTAACAACAGGGAAAGAAACAAAGCTTTTGTTGCTTCCATCTACTCTTCCTTCCTCTTAAGCGACTAAGACGCTCAAACCAATCTTTTACTTTTGCTCCTCCTTTTCAACGAGCTTGTAGTGTTGCGCACGGTAAAACTTGAAGAGCAAACATGGACGTTTGAGCTCACAAATTCCTTACATGGGCATGAAAAAGATCGTGTTTTTTTTTTAAAAATGCTAATTTTATCATGTACACAACCAACGAATCGCTCAGAATCACGTACGATGGTACAAATTTTCTATTTAGCAAAATAAGATCAATTAATTCTTTACAAATGTTACCCCCAAACACCTCTAACATTAATTCGCTTGTAGTTTACGTATCACAACAATGAAATCAATCGGAAGCACGCAAAAAAACCTGCAGGAAACGCGACTCGTTAATGCGCCATCGCGACGGGATGCTGCTGAAACATTATGCTCCTCTGGCTCGGCAGCGCGAGCATGGCGGTGTGGTCCAGGAAATCCTTCAACGCGACCACTGCCTCCAGAAGCCTCCTCAAATCCTCGGCGCACGAGAACCCCTTCCCCCCCGCCCTCCTCACCGCGTAGACGTAGATCGTCAGGCAGCCCTTCCTGAACTTGAACCTGGCCATCTCGCAGCCTGACATGCCCCTGATCAGCTTCCTAGTGACGTCCCCCAGGGGGACCATGTGCGGCCACAGGCCGTCGGCGCGAGCTTCATCGCTGGCCGGATTCGAACACGAAGATGACGGCCCTTTGACTTCTTCGGTGCCCAGGCCGAGGGTCAGGGCTGCTGCCAGGCGTGCGCTGCGCGAGGATGGTGAAGTTTCGGTGGGATGATAGTGTGTGTATTCGGAGGGGGAAAGCGGAGAAGAACTTGTGTTCTACCGGCGTTGCGCCTGGGAGCAGCGCGGGGATGGCGGGGGCGAGGCAGAGGAGGCGGTAGGAGCCTTCGAGGGGGGTAGCGCGCGGCGGACCGAGTGAAGGACTGACGAGACGAACTGGGCGCGAAGGCGGATGCCGGTTTGACGGTCGAGGTGGGCTTGAAGTGGGGGGAGGAGTCGGGGTTGTGCTTGTTGTGTTTGTTGCTCTTGTTCTTGTGTTTCTTCTCCTCTTTGTTGTTGTTGTTGTTGGTGCTGGTGGTGTCCATAGTTTGTTTGTTGTTGGTTGTGATTTGGTGCGTGTTGGGGGGGTATAATGGCTGTGTTTGCGGATGTGCTTTTCAATTCCCTTTTTAGTTTTTTAGTTTTTTTTTGGGGGGGTTTTTCTTGGTGTGGTATCATGTCACTCCATATACAAAAAATACGAGGATTTACGAGGTTTGGCAATCAACATGATTATCTCCACTAGCGTACAACTAAGTCATGATTCTACTAACAATCAATAAGATTGCAGTCAATCTCTCTCACTCTACCTCGTCCTCTCTCTCAATTGTTTCTGTTTCCTTCTCTTGGCAAGATGGGAGTGTTTCGTTTGATGTTTCTCATTAGTGGTGTCAATAACATTATTATTTATTTTTAAAAAAAAATGTTACTTGATTATGTGAATTTTGACTCTTCATATTCTATTATGTGACATGAATAGCAATTTGAATTTGAATTTTGGAATTAACTACTTTGGTGGTTTTTTTAAGACATAACTACATTGAGTAGTTATGAACTCCTTGATGGTAGGAGTTCTATAAAGAGAGTCACTTGTCCACACACAATGTATGGTCAATAATCAAGTCATGTGATAATAAGTCATCATCTCGGTTTTGTGTTGTGGAGTGGACAAGGGAGAACAATTATCAGTAATTTGGTGTTCATTACATTCAACAACGGATGAAGGTATGTACCATTTTACTCAATCTCGTTTTAGTATGTGAACGAGTGTTAAATTCTGTTAATCATGCTATAAGAACTTCTTACAATTGGTATCAGAGTCCTTATATGATTCACATAGATAGATCCCTAAGAAAATTGGGATTATCTCAAAAGGCTTACATTAACAAAGTTTTGGATAGATTTGGAATGCATAATTGTGCACCTAAAGATGCACCTATTTTCAAAGGTGACAAGTTTGGTTTGCACTATTGTCCAAGCAATGTTTCAGAACTAAAAGAAATGGAAAACATTCCATATGCTTCTGCAGTTGGAAGTCTTACGTATGCGGTTGTTTGCACAAGACCAGATCTTGCCTTTTCAGTAGGAATGTTGAGAAGATATCAAAATAATCCTAGAATGGCTCATTGGAAAGCTGCCAAAAGGATAATGAGATACCTAAAAGGGACTAAAGATTATAGGCTCACATATAGTTTTTTTTTTTTGTAAATGAAAATTTATTCATCACCAATATGTAAAAAGTATTTACATCAAGAATCTCCTCACATATGAGAGATAACAAAAAGTATCTAG